ACAACATCCAGAAGGAGTCCACCCTCCACTTGGTCCTGCGCTTGCGTTGAGGTATGCAGGGTAGAGGACTGTTTTGTTGTTGGCATTGGTGGCCGCCATAGCTTTTCTCAGACGTTGTGTGTCCTAACAACAGAGCAACATGTTTGTCAAGAGATTATAGCTGAACAAAAAGTATTCAAGCTGGCGTGCCATTGAAGCCGATGAGGGCCGGAACGTTTTGTTCGACCTCACACAAATGCCCACTTCACATGGCTGTGCCGGATTTGTATATTCTCGATTCACGAACGACTCAATGTTCAGGGACCAATTCCGAGGTCAGTCATTGGGAGAAGGTTTTTTTCATTCTGTACCATTGGTGACCAAATCACCCACCACCCGGCAGAAGGCCGATCGAAGCAGAAACCCCAGATCCACATCCACACTCGCGCTTAGAGATGTCGCAAACGACTTTGGTTGCCTTTTCCATCTCATCTCATTTAAGTCACAGCTTTGATGTAGCACCCTCTCAGCTCGGCTGTCATAGCAATCTCAGGTCCCTTATATCTTATGTTTTTTGTTTATCATCATTGACCAGTTCCTTTCCTCAGCTTGTACCTGTAATTACTCACTTTGGTTGTTGTCTTAACACATATGTTAACTTTCAATTGTTGCAATTGAATTGAAATCATCGCTTTTCTGGATTTTCACAATGTTTTTTGCTCAACCCAACGGAATCATCAGATCACCGAACTCGTTGATTTTAACAACTCGTTATCTGAACGTACGAATCGATGAGATCGCGTAGGCCGACACTGCCCATTTGTACTTCTTGTTCGTGAACGCTGCATGGAAAATACCCAGTGGAATCAAGTTGGGTAAGTGTGAGCTTGGACTGACATTGCATTGAACAGTCACCCTCAGTTCTCTGAAGACATCGCACGAGGCTGCAGATGGCAATTTTCAGAGACTGAAACATTGTACAGATCTTGTGACTGTGACTCCTCCTCGACCATTCTGACCTCAGGCTGGTTGAGTTGAGCAAAAGGTTCGCGCGCGTGGACAGGACTTAAATGCTTGCAACCTTGAGTCTGGAGACAAGCTGGCCTTCGCTTGATTGGAGTATTTTGTATATTTAGAAAATCCCATACTATATAGCTCTCTTTTGAGTCTTTGTAGTATGACCTGTGCATTATGACCTGTGCCCAAACTCGATTCGGTGCCTAGGCCTGACGCCTGACGCCTCGAATAGAGAGCCGAAAAGAAAGGAACGCCTGGGCCTCTGGCGCCTCACGGGACGCGACTGTGCACCGATCTCCCCGAAAGAAACAGTCTGTGGGGAATCTCGACTGGGCTGGGCAGCGCGTGTGTTGGTGCGTGTGGCGTGTGGGACAAACGGGCCATGCGCCGAGCGAAGAGCTGTAGCTTTTTCCTCAAGGAAGTCGCTGTAGCTATGCAAAAGCGAAGAGAGGGGAGCAAAAACAGTTTGCTTGTCAAAAAGAATCGTCATTGTTTGCACACAAAGATTGGAAGAACTCCCCTTTCTGAAGAATCAGATTACTGAACAAGCCTTGACTTTGGATCCTTTTTGGCTCCCTTGGCAAGATCTATTTTCGAGCCCAATGGACTAAGACTTCAGCCTCACCCCCAACCCATCAATGTTGTTGACCTTCCATAGAAGCCATCACTGCGACGTTGGAAAGCAAACCAAATGTCACATATCACTTGTCACACACATCACTAGTCCAACTAGTCCAACTAGCCCAAGCCATCCTTCACACCCAGTCAACCCCAACAGCTCGCTTGCAACGTCACTGGTGCTTCTGGAAACGTGGCGGCCATGAAATAAGAGGCCTTGGCGGAACGCCATGGCGGAAACGGAGGACGGGGTTCCGCCGGAAGTAGCGATGGCGTCCACCCTAGTAGCGATGGCCTCCACCCTGAGAGCAAGAAGGGAAGAATATCAATAAGAGACAATAAGAGCAACAAGAACCTAATAGCAATGGGTTAAACCTAATTAGTAGCATTCTTGCTACTAGTAGTAATGCCCTAGCTGCGAGTAGCGGCGTAGCATTTTCGCTACTAGTAGCGATGCCCTTGTTACTAATAGCAACGGGCTCCAACCTAATATCAATAAGAGCAACAAGAAGGGAATAATATC